TAAAATTAAAAATTAAAAAATATTTTCAGCAGAAACAATAATCTTAAATCATATTTAATAAAATTAATGGTAGAATTTGTAAAATAGAGAATTAAAACTAAATTAAAAATTAATGGTAATTACATATTTTTATGTTGAATAATGGTAATTAATTTCATTATTCCATTTAGCTTTCTAAAATGCAACTTCCTTTAGATTAGAATAATGGTAATAAATCTATACCCTAATAATTTACAAATTCTCCTTAAAAAATTAAAGCACCTTAGGCTTAAAATATTGGCTATTAAGATATAAGTAGGATTGTTATAATGGTGTTATCTAATTAAATAACAAAATAAATTACAATTTTCTGAAAGGTTTTTGTTTTAACATTAGAGAGGTTCAAAAGGTGTATCAATATTTACATAATTTTGGTCAGAGGACTAAATTTATTATGCTGTTTTAACATCCCATAAACGAATAGACTTATCTTCGCTTCCAGAAGCTAATGAATTACCATCAGGAGAGAAGCAGACGGATCTGACATAATTAGTATGTGCGTCCAACTTTTAATTTTATAATCCTTTCTTTAAATACCATAAACAGATAGAGTTATCCTAACTACCAGATGCTAATGTAGTACCATCGGGGGAAAAGCATACTGAAAGGACAGGATCATCATGACCATCCAATTAGGCTTTCTATTATCCTGTCTGAACATCCCATAAAATGATAGAGCAATCTCCACTGCCAGATGCCAAATTAGCACTATCAGGAGAAAAGCATACTGAGTTGACTGAATCATTATGACCTTCCAATTTTGCTTTCTGTTTCCCAGTTTTAATATCCCATAAAATGACAGAACAATCACTACTACCAGATGCTAATATAATACCTTAAGGAGAAAAGCAAATAGAGTAAACAGCATTACTATGTCCATTCAATTTTGCTTTTTATTATCCTGTCTGAACATCCCATAAAATGATAGAGCAATCTCCACTACCAGATGCCAAATTAGAACTATCAGGAGAAAAACATACTGAGTTGACTGAGTCATTATGACCTTCCAATTTTGCTTTCTGTTTCCCAGTTTTAATATCCCATAAAATGACAGAACAATCACTACTACCAGATGCTAATATAACACCTTAAGGAGAGAAGCAAATAGAGTAAACAGCATTACTATGTCCATTCAATTTAGCTTTTTATTATCCTGTCTGAACATCCCATAAAATGATAGAGCAATCTCCACTACCAGATGCTTTTGTAGTTCCATCAGGAGAAAAGCATATCGAATAGATCGTTTTACTATGTCCATTCAATTTGGCTTTTTATTATCCTGTCTTTATATCCCATAAGAGAATAGAGTTATCCACGCTGCCAGATGCTAATGTAATATCATCAGAAGATAAGCATATAGATGTAACCAGATCTCTATGACCATCCAATTATGCTATTTATTAACCTGTCATCATATCCCATAATCTGATAGATTTATCTCCACTTCCAGATACTAAAGTAGTACCATTAGAAGAAAAGCATATTTAGTAGACGTTTTTAGTGTGACCACTTAATTAGGCTTTTTATTATCCTGTCTCAAAATCCCATAATCGGATAGACCTATCCCCACTACAAGAGGCTAATGTGGTACCATTAGGAGAAAAGCAAATTGAATAGACACAATCACTATGACCATATAATTTATTTTATTCCTATTCTGTCTTAACATTCCATAATCGAATAGAATTATCATAACTACCAGATGCTAATGTATTACCATCAGGAGAGAAGCATACTGAGTAGACATAATCACTATGACCCTCTAATTTGGCTTTTTATTATCCTGTCTTAGCATCCCAGAAATGTATAGAGTTATCTCCACTACCAGATGCTAATATAGTACCGTCAGGAGAGAAGCATAATGAGTAAACAGTATTACAATGACCATCCAGTTTGGCTTTTAGCTATCCTAACTTAATATCCCATAAACGGATAGAACAATCCCCTCTTCCATATGGATTTCCACCACCTGAAGCTAACGTGGTGCCATCATTAGAAAAACATACTGAATAGACTGTATTATCATGACCATCAAGTTTCGCTATTTGCTATCCTAATTTAATATCCCATAAACGGATAGAGTTATCACTACTACCAGATGCTAATGTAGCTCCATCAGGAGATATACAGACTGATCGAACAGTCTCACTATGTCCTTCCAATTTTTTCAATTCTTGGATTTTCAAGTTTTTCCATTTACAGTTATATAATTAAGCCCCATTTAAGCTCACTCCACTAATATCTACATTATTGAATTCTGATCCACTCAAGTTGCATCTTATCAAATTAGCACCAAATAAAGATGTATTCTTGATTCTGATATTTTAAAAACATTATTTTGCCAGATCGACCTTCATACTTATTAATAAATTTAGTCCATTCGATCCACATTAAATAAAATTTTCGTCAAAGGTTGTCAAACGAATTAAAAATTTTATAAAATCAATGATCTCCTTATTACCTGTTATCTTATTGATTAGGTCTTATCTTGCCTCTTTGTAAGTATCTGTAGAATAGTCATATTGACTG